TGTTTTGAGTAAGTGGTTGAATCAAGTCTAGCTTGGCCAGTGAACAGAAGGGAGACTCTTCCTTTACTCGAGTTGCTGCACTCGAATGTCCTTTGTGGTGGTTGTCCAGGTTGTTATTGAGGTTGTGCATGTACTGATGTTTGAAAACCAGTGCGATTCACGTGTTCTGTGCCTTTATGACTTGTCCCCAATGTTGGTCGATTGAAATATGTAAGCTTACCTGGTGTCTGACTTGGTTTGCTTGGGGACAAGCAAACGGTTAAGTGTGGGGGAGTTTGATAGACCGCCATTTACACATGTTTTTACCCTCGTTCTTACACCGTTTGAGGTGTTGATTCTCGTGTTTTAGGCCGATTTCACGCTAGGTTGTGCTTGTTTGTGATATTTCAGGTCCTAGTACGTGAATGAAGGCTTAGGAGCGAGTCTGGGGCCGATTGGACGAAGATCGGACGAATGGCGAGGTTTCAAGGAAGCTGCACGGGCAGACCATGGCACCGCACGGCCGTGCACGTGAGCAAGATGGCCGTGCGCTTTTTGCCGAGGCCACGCACGGGCAAGCCATGGAAATCACACGGCCGTGCAAGGTGCAACCCTGGCCGTGCGAGAAGCCTAAGATCGAACTAAACGACACGCTGCGTTTTGAGTTGCACGGCCAAGTGGGTGATCTGCACGGCCGTGCGGCCTGGCCGTGCGAGTCGGGAAATCCTGGTTTTAGAGCCTATTCCGAGCCAAAAGTGAGAGAGTCGTGTTTTCAGAGCAAAAACAGAGCCCTAGAGAGAGAAAGTGCGAAGAACACATCCTAGAAGCTGTCTTAGAGCTGGATTTCATCGAATCGAGCTTGGAGATCGTCATAGGAGTGGAAATCATCGTCCCGGAGCAGATTTTCCTCATCGTTATGAGTATGACTAATCCGATTCTTGTTTTCTCTTCTCTCTCTATGGAGTAGAACCCTTCTCTCACTCGGGTATGAAGAACCCTAGTTCCTTGTGTTAGGGATTTGATTGTAATGACTTGGGATGATATTACTGTTTGATTTTAATCGAATGACGCATGTTTATTGAATTGATTGGAGTCTGATCAGCTTTTCTCAATTTCTGCTGCAACCTGAGATAGATAGAATCTGATTAGGTTGTTAGAGTCTCTTCATTCGATAGTAGGAGATTGGCTATATGAGAGTTAGCCAGTTTACTGCTTTGTACTGGAATTCAATTCCAGTAGTGGAGTTCTGTGTTCATAGCCTCAGCTTTCTATCCCGGTGAAGACTAGTCGTCTACCGGGTAGTTAGACTGAGAGGGCTTGGTCAGCTTAAGAGATTCCAAGCTACTGTCGAATCTTCCGCAGTCTAATCAACAGTAAATCAACCCAGGGAATTACAATTGAACCTAACTAAGGGGCTAGGGGGACTCAATCCCGAGTGACTCTTTCCTGACTTTGAAAACCGAACAATTTACTGTTTTCTTGTTGCTTTTGCTTTTCACAACAATCACTCGAACTAGTTTGCTAGATAATAGAGAATCACGGAGTAAGCAGTAGATCTAGACCCCGGGTTGATAATATAACTTGCCTGTTACTGCATTCCCGGACTGCGATTACACTTGGTCGCAGTTTGGTGTTGTGTTTTGGCGTGTCACTGAGTCTAACCTCAGTGGAGATTTTCCCTATGGTGGGTTCATCACCCTCATCATCGCCAATCTTGGCATCTCATTGGATGGGTATTCCTCTGTGGATTCCTCTATCTCTGTCCCTGCTGTCTCAGTGTTTCAATTCATCGGTATTGATCCTCAGCATTTGAAAGGGGGAGATACCTCTGATCCCGCAGCTGTGCAACATAAAATCATATCCAAAACCATGACTAAATCCCTGCTTCCTGAGGATTCATCCTCATCTGTTCGAAAAAATCTAATCATCTCCTTTGAGGAAGAAGATGCTGAACTGGAACCTGAAACTCTATCTGAAGAAGACATCATACTCTTTACTGCAGATCTTGAGAAAGAAATGATGGAAGCAATGGCTGGAACTCAGGGGGAGTTAGAGGAAGGAAACATAATGGAAGGACTGGCTGAAACTCAGGGGGAGCCTGCTAAAAATGACTCACTGGAAGACAAGCTCTGAAGCTGGAAGAATAAAAATAATAATATGAACTACTTTGATGTGTTATGCTCTCTTGTCTTGCTTTTATGAACAGTATGATCTTTTTGAAGTATCCTGAGAATTAAATGACCATAATGGTCTAAATAAAATGTGTGGTTTGTGTTTATGTCCGCTGCTTGAAGAGTCAAAATGAGGTGGTCATAATGGTCTTCCCTTCAATTCCAAGCAGAGTCAAAATGAGGTGGTCATAATGGTCTTCCCTTCAATTCCTTGAACACTTGCTGTGCTGCTTTACTTTGATGATTTTCCTTCTGCTGTCAGGTATAAAGGCTTGATCGCAAGGGGAGATTGTTGGGCCTTGTCGTTCACCTATTCAAAACCATTGCAGGCCTGGTGACACTAAAGGCCCATTAACCAAACCTATTCATCTTCCCACCACTCCAAGACCTCTTCGTGCGTCTGCGCTTTTATTCTTCTCATCAAAATCATCAAAGACTGGTGAAGGAGTTCCCTGCACATCGATCGTCGTTCTCATCAAAGCCACACAACGGTAATCTGCAATAAAGAAGGAAGAGTGAGGTGATGCTTACTGAGATTATATATAGAGAGCAAACCACGAAGAAGGATGCAACGGTTTCCCTGGCTCAGTAGAACGGGTTAGTTCTTTGGGAGTTCTCGGATTGGGTTCTGTGGTATCGTGTCTGGTTGAATTAGAGTTGGGGCTTCCAAGCCAGGAACTCTAATTCATCTGGGCGTAGCTCTCTCTTTCGTGTCTTTCTTCTTTCCTGTTCTTCTCGGCCATTATGGCCTTGTTTTTTTCTTTTCTGTTATTAGGGTTTGAACTCGGAATCTATCTAGGTAATCGAATCAATCGATATCATTCACATCTCTCTGACTGCTTAAATCATGGATATAATTCTGGTCGATTGACTGTGTGTGAATGAATCAAAGACATAGTTGAATAACATTAGTTATGAGTTTGATTTATGAATATGGTTTGGTTAAGTGATATTGTGTGTATGACGTGCCTTTTGCTTGTGACCGTGTGGTATGAAGTAATTGTTTGCATACAATTGTGTTAGCTAAGTTTTATAGTTATTTGGAAGAAAAAAGTCGAGAAATTATTTTATAAAAATCTCATATCTTTTAGTTGATATGAATTCCAGAAGAGCTTCATAAAGCATGTTTTGCTTAATGAAAGAAAATTGAACTCCAGAAGAGTTTCATGCAACATGGATTGCTTAAAGAAAGAAAATTGAACATGAAGGATTTAAGATCCTTTTTGGATCAGTACGACAATGCCGGAAAGGTGAAAGGACAATTTTGTATGGAAATATTGCATATGCTCAACAGCTTAAAGATCACATGGTCACTAGAAGTGAACAAAGATCAATTTAGGCATTGAGATAAAAGTGAATTATTAGGTCCTGAAGTACCGTATGTTAATGTCGTTAGAGCGAAAATGTATCTCGCTATACTTCGTTACTATAGGTAACGATGAGGATCATAGATGAGTAATTTGTTTACCTATGGTCGTACAAGTATCTCATGGAGATTCCAAAGAAATCACAATAGCAACTGATCATGCACAATGGTCAACAATTCACGAGACTTGTTATGAATTGTTTGGTTAAGATTTGTGATTCAACACGTCTAAAATGACTTGTAGTTGTGGATTCTCTTCATAAAAAATGATCTTGAAGATCATGTATGAAGAAAATGATCCTAATGGATCATGCATAAAGTGACAATCTAGAAGATTTGTTCACTAAGAAGCTTACCATGAGAAGATTTGAAAGATTTGTTCACAACACTATACTTTGATGTTGTCCTGAGGGGGAGCATATACGCACTGCACTCTTTTTTCCTTAACCATGATTTTTCCCACTGGGTTTTCCTGGTAAGGTTTTTAACGAGGTAGATTCAGATAGCGTATTATGATGATTATGTACTCTTTTTCCTTCACTAGGATTTTATCCCACCGGGTTTTTCCTAGTAAGGTTTTAACGAGGCATATTCATGTCTAATGGTCATCCAAGGGGGAGTGTTATGAAATTATTATTATTATTATGGATGACCAACATTAGATGCTCCATGGTATGTTACAAGTTCTATGTAACTCATCTCCTTATATTTATTTCTCCATATGACACATTAGTTGCACAATTGGGTGTTACATGTAACCCCCCACCCCATTTCTATTTCACATTCATTCTCACATTCATGTATATTGATTGTAAGAATGTAGAGGTTATGTGATGTGTGCCTATAAATAGATGATCTCATTGTACTAAGGAACACATGAATAAGAAAGCTCTATTCCTCCTCTCTTCTTGTGTCTCTACTCTTACTCTTGTGTATGTTCCTCTTCTTTGTTATTTCATAACACTATAAACAATAAGATTAATTGAAAGTTTCTTACTCGTCAACTAAGTTTCTTCACTCTCCACTTCATAATATCAACTTCATTCTAAACAATTAGAAACAACAAATTATATATGTCTCCACAAATATAAAGAATATTAATTGTTTAAGGAAGATATATTATTTAGAATATTAAATATATCGGGAAAGTAATTATATGTGTGTGGGCGGGTACCCATGGGGCGGGTTTACCTAAACCCAAACCCAACCCGACCCGGTGAATAGTGTAGCGGGTTTAAACCCGAACCCGGCCCAAAACCCGTTAACACGGGTTTTACCCGCGTTGACCGGGTTGGGTCGGGTGGGTACCCGTGGGTTCGGGTTTTGTTGCCATCCCTAAGCACCGCCGTCAAGAAGCTGAAACGGCTGCTTCCCTTTGAACCCCTTCACCACTCCGGCGCCGAAGATCGCTTAGAGGCAGTGCATCACCATGTAGAACACCGCCCTGGCCAGCGACAACATCCTCGCCAGAAAAAGCCCGAACGTCATCTTCGGGTTAATGTGGCCACCTGTTGTCTCACATTAAAACAAAAAAAATTGTCAGTCCAATTGAATTCCTGAAAGTTATTTTTAAGCTCGATTTGAGATTGGATTTTGGGGGACCTGAGATTCCGGCGGAGCAGTAAATGAGGGCGAAGATCATCCCTCCGAAGGCCTAAGCGATCCCCTGGATGCCTACGTTGGAGCATTTGGAAGGGCTCTTGACGACGTCCATGACGATGAGGATGCTGATGTAGAGGAAGAGGAAAGTGGCGATGAACTTGGCTATTTCGGCCATGTAGAAGGACCAGGAGGTGAGCTCCCCTGGCTCGAACAGAGGAGCAGGTGCGGCGGGTGCAGGCGAACAAGATCTCGGAGGATTTGCTGCTTCGGTAACGTCCCACCGCCAGCGAGACTCTGGAGCCGGTCGAGGGAATATATTTTGTTTTTTCAATTTTTTTATTTCCATTGCAATTATTTTTATTTTTTTGTAATAATGAGGTGGAATTTTTAAAAGATTAATTTTTATTGTTTTAATTGCCACGTCACTCAGTGAGAGTTGACCGCCACATCAGCCAAAGTTAACGGAGACTAACGCAGAGTGACCAAAATTGAACTGTTGAACTAATTTAAGTGACTACGAATGGAATAAAGTAATTCTAGTGGCTAACGTGAATTTTACTAGTAAGCCGTTGTATTTTGGGTTTGGTCTCTCCCCAACTCTTTTGGTTCACTTTTTCTTTTCTTAAGACGTTGTGGAGCAAGTTTTTAGACAAAGGAAGCTCCACAATTTTCTATATCATTTATAATTTTAACATTATTAAATTATTAATTACATTAAAATAAAACTAAATAAAAATTTATATCAATCAACATAACCAAGATTTGAACCTATGACCTATGAGCTCAAACTATCACCATTTTAAGTGTTGACTCAATAGGATAAAGTATATTTGATACTATTAATTACAACAAAACAAGTATATCAATCACCATAACTAAAATTTAATCATGCAACCTCAGAGCTCAAACAATAATCATTTACATTGTTGAACCAATAAAATAAAATCTCTTTAATGCAATTAATCACAACAAGATTAATACTCATGTTACAAAAAAATGTACAACACATAACATTCTATTTCCATTTAATGGTTGACTTCTGTATATTACACAACCTAAACTATCATAGTAAAAAAAATTTGTTCTATTTTTTTAGCAATGATAGAAATCATTAACAATTATAAATAACCTATTTTTATTTTTAGTTTATAAAATGTTTGATAATTTTTATAATTTTATACAAATAATTAGAAAATCCTAAAAGCATGAATTTAGTTGGTACAATTATAAACTTTTACATAATTTGACTTGTGATTTTATTTTAAAATTGAAAAATGAAAAAGGGAAAAATAAGCTTCTTTCGTATTCTAGAATACAAAGAATTTAACATTTGTTTGTACGAACTACAAACTACTATAAATATGTGAACCAATACAGTTATGCTGCAATTTGATAGAAAATAACTACTATAAATATCCAAACTAATACACTCTTATCGCGATGTACTAGAAAAATAACAATTCTTTGTGTGCTTATTAAATTACTTAGAGATAATAGCATGAAGTAAAAAATGATGGTTTGCTAAGTAAAAATCATAGTCATAATAACTTATTAATGTGAATTATTCCTATACTTTAAGATTAATGAAACATATCAACATAATTCAGTCATATTTTACAATTGGTAAAAGAAGTTACAAGAAAAGTAATATACATATATATATACATATATGGTGACTTCTACGGTGCCCAGGGCAAAATCCGGGTACGGGTACCTTGGCCGATCTTAACCATTCGTTTTCAATCTCCACGGCTCACGTTTGTTAAACCTAACTGCGCCACTAAATAACTAAACAAATTACAAAAAGCCTCCTCCGCGTTAAGTTTGTTTTCATCCTAGTCCAACTAACTGCCCCGATTAAATTAAATGGATTAAGACTGCAAACCCAATTGGGTAGACCCACTGCCGCCCAAACCAATTTCCAGTCTCCCTAACCAATTACACGATCCCTCTCTCGTCTTGGAGGGACGCCCCTTCACAGTTCCAAGAGAAGCTCTCCATCCAATTTGAACTCCCTTTTTTTAATCATCTTTTTGAGTCCCAATTACTTGCATCCACATTCGACGTAGATTGAATGTCCCAAAATTTTTTTGTCTTGTTTCTTCTTCGCCATTGTATTTCCCCTCGCCTATCTCTTTCTAACACGATTACGGCGACCATGTCTATTATTGTGTTCATCAAACTTTTCATTTGCAAAAGAACCCTTGAAAGAGGTTTGCTAACCCTAGGGTTCATGTCACTAGTGCTTTGTCATCTTGTCTTAGCGTTATTGTGATTTTCTCGAACCTTATATCTCTCGGTGAAATTTAGGTTTCCTGATATGTAGTGGTCGTCTCGCCCAGAGGATTGAGGAAGAAGATGAAGAACACATAATTTGATTCGAATCGGATGGAGAGGTCTCCTTAGTTTGTGTTTATGTATTAACGGTGCGTTTAGGAGTAATTCTAGTTGGACTGGGTCTGATCATTTATTTTTGCAGGCTTTTAAATAACATTCAAACGTGGGCTTGTACATGACCCATGCAATATTCAAAAGTGGGCCTGGAACGTGCGAGCCCATTAGTTTTCTCCAGCGGTATCAGTGCCAATCCTAGTTTAACTAGCTTTACTTACCCTAGTTTAACCTACACGAGTTAACATCATCATTACTACATATCTTCCCAAATCTTCTAACTCTTGACATTCCAGACTCAACCGTCTCCATCACACGTCTCCACACTCAACCCCCACGATCACTTTTTCTTACACCTACAATCTCTCTTTCCTCCATCTTCACCTTCCCTTGTTCCTTCTTCCTCTGACTCCATGGCAAACAAAGGCAAATCGTTTGGGGAAATGGGCATACTAACTCTATCAAACGACGACTGCCGATCCACCCCAAGTCTCAGGGACTATCTTTCATTCACAAGCAAGACACCTATTGTGGCCGAGTACGAGTTCATCCACCTGAGTCCTTTCCCTCAAGAAGTGAAGAAGTTAATTAAAAATCTTGGCTGGGAAAAGTTCTTTGATCTCCGGAGTCGAGGAAGCACCAGTTACTGCCCGCATGTGGTGAGGAAGTTCTACCACAATTTAGAGCTGTCTGGTCCCTCCGATTCTCATCTCGTGTCGATCTTCCTGGGTTATAGAGTCTGCTTCCAGCCTCATCAGTTTGCTGAGATCCTCGATCTCCCCGCCGCAGGACACCACATTGATAGCAGAAGCGATCTTCGGCGGCTGTACGATTTTGAGTTTGAAGTTGAACTGGCGAAACTGACGAATGGGCGCATCCAGGCTTCTTTCCTCCCAGATCCTCTTCGATTCCTCCATTGGATGATCGTCAACTGCTTCATGCCAAGGTACAGTCGTCAATCGATAATTCGTAAACTTGACCTGTTTATCCTTGTGCAAGCTCAAAGAGGTCTTCCTGTTAACCTCGCATCTCTCATGTGCCTGAACATGGTTGAGGCGGCTCCTAGAGGGGAAAACTGGTACACTGCCTTTCCATATGCCACCTTCTTGACCACCTTTCTTGGAAGGGTTGGGATGGATATGGAGGTTTATGCTAAGGAGGACCATTGCGCCTATTTGCCAGTCTTCCGTATCGCCGAAGTGACCAATACTTTTTATGACCTTCGGCATACGGAGCATGAAGAGACCCCTGAGGCATCCTCAAGCAAACATCCTAGGCTTACATGAGAGTCGATTGATGCAGGGCGGGGTGGAGCGTTGGAGCAGCAAAGGGGCCAGCATTGGATGTCTTTTCTTAAGAAGTTTACTGTAAGGCTTTGTTGTTGTTTTTTTCCAGTCTTTTTCTCCAGCACTCAAAACTGTCAGGTACTGAGGGGAGCCAGTACATCATCTGACTAGGAAAGTCTCCCATTTTTTTAATAATCCAGACAAATATTTTTCTATGCATGCAGTATTTTGTGAATTTGCCATGGCTAATTTCCCTAAGACAGGTGACGAGATGCAGTAATGGTCATCCCTAAGCAAGGAGGTGCAATTGCATCCTACACTTGCTATGATGTGAGAAGCTATTGAAGGGTGCAAATTTGGTTGCAATTGAAATTGGCCCACGAGTGGGGACTATTGATGAAATTGCAATGTTTTCTCAAAATTATAGAAGTGGAAGTAGGGACTACCTATGAAATTGCAAATGAATTTCATTGGGGGGAGATTTTAATCCGCTTTTGTTCTAAGCAGTTCCAATTAGGTCGAAGTAGGGACTACCTATGAAATTGCAATGTTTTCGAAAATTATGGTTTTATTTAGAAGTTGAAGTAGGGACTACCTATGGAATTGCAATGTTTTCGAAAATTATGGTTTTATTTATATTTGGTCACAAGTATAGTGACGATGATAGGCGTGAATAGTATGGATATGGCTTGATTATAATGATTTTTTATCTATGGTGATTTTTCCCCCTTTTTCATCAAGACTCATGCTTCTTTTATCCCCCTGTGGATCTATCATGCTTCGTTTATAGTAAAATATCGTTTTAATTATACACAATAAAGAATCCATTAATTATGTATGCCTTTTTATTGTATTTATTACTACAATGAATTCTCTGACTAAAAGGGGAGTGAAAACATCGTTGGTGGAAATTCAAGGAATGGAATGATAAGGGCTGTGCATAAATTCAATTTCTGTAAATAATTAATGTTATTATTATTAGTTAGTAACGTCATTAGTTTTAGTTAGTGGGTTAGTGGCTCCTACTTTGTAGCTTCAATATGTTCATGAGTTGGTACTTAAGCCACTCTCCTGATCAATGTAAATCACTACTTTCAATCCTTTACATGGAAGCCTTTCCATATCCTAGGAACATTAAATTAATTACATAAGAATTTTCTATCTGCCTTGTACTGGGTTTGGTCATTATTTATACTGATTGGGAGCCAATCAGTTTTACCTTTTGGGTTACCTATACATGAATGCAAATTTAATTATACGATTGGGAGCCAATCAGTTTTACCTTTTGGGTTACCTGTACATGAATGCAAATTTAATTATACGATTGGGAGCCAATCAGTTTAACTATACATGATCCCAATTAAACATCTCTACAAGATACAGGGGTCATTTGGATGCAGGTTTTGGGTGTGGGATTTGGGCACAATCCTACATAATGTGGGATTTTATTAAAATCACTCATTTGGAAAGCAATTATATGATAAGAGATTTTAAATATTAGAGATTTCAGAAACCCACAATTGTGGGATTATGAAATAGCTGATGGTGATCAGCTATTTTAAAATCCCACACAAATCCCACAAATTAAAAACCTAGGTTTTTAAACTAGTGATTTGAGCCAAAATCCCACAAATTAAAAACCTAGA